TTTCCTTTCCTTTCCTTTCCTTTCCTTTCCTTTCCTTTCCTTTCCTTCCTTCCTTCCTTCCTGAGACAGAGTCTATGTAGACCAGGTCAGCTTTGAACTCACAGAGATCCACCTGCCTCTCCTTCAAGTGCTGTGATTAAAGACATATGCCACCATGCCCAGATTTTTATTTTCTTTATGCAACAAAATTCCTGAGAAAGTAAACCAAGGGAGGCTTTAAAGACTTGTTTTGACTTAGTTTCAGAGGATGTGACTTAGTCAACCTGTAGTCACATTCACATGGCTGTGTTATTTCTGGGATCATGTACTGTAAGACAAAACATTATGGGAGGAGCATGCAGTAGAGCAAAATGATACATTTCACATGGACAGGAAGAGCTGGATTGAACCAGGCAGAGGCCAGGAACAAGGCACATTCTTCCAAGACACACACCTAGTGATGTTCTTCTGTACTAGATCCCACCTCCTAACTGCCCATTAATGAGGTCAGTGTCTTCATGATCCAATCTCAAAAACACCACCAGCTGGGGGCCAAGCCTTCAAATGTGCCTTTTTGGGGACATTTTAAACCTAAATTATAACAGACAGAAAGAATCAATGAAGAAAAAAAGGATGACTCTTCAGGTCAACGGAAAAAAAAATGCAAAAGCCCCAACCTAGAAAAGGGCCTTATCCAGAGTACAGGAAACCTTATGGAAGAAGACAGAGATAGAAGGACCTGGAGCAGACAGTAACTCCACAAAGAGACCAACAGAGCCAAAAAACCTGAGCCCAGAGTCCCTACAAGGACCAATACTCCCATGAAGGACTATGCATAGAGAGGACCTAGAGCCCCTGCTCAGAGAAAGCCCGTAGGCTGCTCAGTTTCCAAGTAAGTTCCCTAGTAAGGGGAGCAGGAGCTGTCTCTGACATGAACTCAGTAGCTGGCTCTTTCCTCAGCTATCCCTGGGACGGAGGGAGGGGGATGCAGCCTTGCCAGGCCACAGAGGAAAATTATGCAGCCAGCCCTGATGAGACCTGATAGGCTTGGGTCAGACAGAAAGGGAGGAGGTCCTCCCCTATCAGGGGATTAGGGAAGGGGCATAGGAGAAGAGTGAGGGTGGGTGGGACTGGGAGATGAGGGAGGGGGTTACAGCCAGGATTCAAAGTGAATAATTTAATTAATTAATTTATTTATTTAAAATATTTTTTTCAAAAAGGGCCTTATACTTCAGACTATCTCAATGATAATATTGAAGAAGGCATGACAGTACACCCCTATGTCTAACTTAGCGGCCCAAATAAAAAGTCCTAAAGAACAGCAATTCACATCCTACTTTCTGCCATTTTCTTTCCTACCATTCTGATCTCCGTAACAAGGTCAAGGGGAAATTTCTTGATCTCTTTCAGGCACCCTAACACTACCAGTCACCTAGTCTTTTATACTAAAATATGTAAACCCACAAACAGAAATTATAGAGTAGTAGAATTTTAGTGGGAATATATAAGACTTATAGACCACAGTCTTGTGACATTTAACACTACAGAACTTACTATCGCCAAACTTTGGCCAACACCACCCAACAAGTTCCAGCACAAGCTCTAAAATAACCCCTGCAGCGATGTGGTTTTGGTCAGCCTCCCTGCTTGCAGGTTAGGAAGGTGTCTGTAATAGCACATACTCTGTGGGCTGCTGTACCTGTTGCCTGATGCATGTGTCTCTCCGTTGTCTGGGTGGAAGACATTTGTGGCCACGAAGATGCAAAGCCTCTTGCCAACTTTCAGCTGTCCTAACAGATGGCTGCTGCCTAAAATGTAAGCTCTAAAACACACATCAAACTGTGTAAACAGTGGCATAATAGTGAAAATAGTACAGGCTTCAGTGATAGTTCTAGGTAATCTAAATAAGCCAGAATGTTCTGATCTGTTATACCATAAAAGCAGAAATATTTCTTGTCACTACCAATCTTAGCACCATCTGCAAAATAATCTTAAAGTTTACCTATAAAACAAAGGTCATATCAGCATCTACCCCCCAGGTTACCATGATAATTCAGCAAGATAATGCATACAAGGTTCTAAAACCATTTTGGCTATTGTTAATACTTCATGAAGGTGAGCTATCATTTTAAAAGTGTTATTAATGAAGATAATAACATTAATGTCTTTGTTAGTAATATACCTCTATAAAGGCCAGCCCAAACTCTTACTTTTTCCCCACTGCTTACACCTTACTAAACTCTGCTCTACCTGCTTGCTGGCAGAGCCTGGATCCTGGATTTCATGTAAACCACATCCATAGCACTCTGGATATAACTCCTTTCCCCATCTCTCATCTATTATGTCATGTGATGCCTGCTCACAGCTCCTGTACTAAAAGACAACATAATTATCAACATAAATTGCCCAAACAGGAAGATGACATCTACAGCAGCAATTAAAGCATGTGATGAGGACTGAAGTAGTTTTAATCAATCAGAATGGTAAGCAGAACAGAAAGACAGTCTGTTTCTGTTCTTTGCCCGTTGTTATTGGCCTTAACACTACATGCCTGAAGCAATTACTGCACTGCCTGTCAGGTCTCAAGCCTAAGTCTGAGCAACGTGTTCTTTTTCGCACATTCTTCACCACACTCATCTCTACTAATTCTTCCAGGAAGGTTAGGTCTCAAATACTGTGTGAAGCATGCATACAGTACTCCAAAGCAACTAACTCTTCCTGCAATCTTCCATTTCTCCCAAGATGAAGTTTGCCTGACACACTTGATCAAAAGGAACTATAAAACTGTCTCAACAGAAATGGGCTCATTATAATACAAGGGAAAATCCTAGAATCATGACAAAACAGAGGGGTGTGAGTGTGACTCTATGTTTGTCTGCCCATGTGTCATGAAAATTTCCAAACACCCAATAAAGTAGGAACAAAACAGTATAATGAATCCATTATGGTACCCTTACTAGCAACCTCTGTGACTTCTCCAACTTTTTTTAAAATTTATTTTATATGTGTTTTGCCTGTGTATATGACTGTGCACTATATGCATGGTGTCTGTAGAAGTCAGGATATATTGGATCCCCTGGAACTAGAGCTAAAGAAGGTTGTAAGCCATGGTGTGGGTGCTGGGAATTGAACTGGGTTCCGCTGGAGCCAGTGCTCTTATCACTGAGCCATCTCTCCGACGACTTCTCCATCTTTTTTCAGGAGTATTTTAAAGCAAACCACAGATTATTCTGGCACATTTCACAATACCTAGACATTTTACTCTTAGCTTTAAGTTTCTGTATTCCACACATAAGCTAACTTGATAAATCCTGAGTGAAATAATGGTCTTTTTTCTCTTTCAGGGGTTATCCAGCCCTCATTCTATAGCTGCTGCTCTCTACCTGTTCTCTAAGGAAGACTTTGTCCCGGAACTGAGGTGGAGCATACTGATGACACTCAAGAGGCAACTCCTTATCCTCTCTCTCTCCTCTCATAAAAGTTGAGGGTTGTTTGAGAAACATGTCCTAAAAGATTATAAAAACAATAACAATGACAATAATAACATAATCATCATCATCTAGCCAGTAGTCGGCTAGTCAAAATTTTGCATGAATACAAAATGCTTCAGTAAGAACTCCATGGAAATCTTAACACTTTGGAATCAATGACAATGCTACTACACTTTTAGTCCAACTCTATAGATTTTAATTCTTAATTCTAAACCACATACAAGAAAGTCTAACAAACTCAGCAAACTTTAAAATAGCTTAAGGACAACAACTACTTCTTACAGAATAGCTTAAGGTCAACAACTACTTCTTACACTCTTCATGTTGGGACAATAAGACCGTGATAATACTGTGGCATTCAGCAATAGCAAATAATCCTGAAATTAAAAGAGTCTAACTGCCTTTTGAGTGGGAGAATTTATTTGACTCTCACAGTTTACTAAAACAGGATCATATTATCATTAGGTAAGAGATAGAACAGAAAAAGAGAGCAGCAAGAAATGAATTTTTGAGGGTTTACACCTTTGGCTCATCCTTCTTAGAGCAGAGAACCATTCTAATAGAACTTAGAAATGGGATCCCACTAATACCATTCTGCCCCACCTGGTTTCTGATTAAATCTTGGACTTGTGGTTTGGGAGGTGGACACTGATAACTTGCCAGAGAAAAGATTTCTCTTCCTTTCCCATCTGTCATATCAGAGAATGGCTCCTTAAAGTTTACTTCCTAAAAGACAGAGAGGGGAAAAAAAAAATTGTCTAGCAGGAATAATACGACAGAAATGATATTTAAGACTGGTAAAACCTTGCGGTAATCTTAAAGTCAGAGTAATATGAAATATTATGCAGGAAGTCATACTTTGTTAGTTGTTGGTCTTAAGCTGCAAGACCAAGCTAAATTCCAGTTAAGTTTCTGCTCATTTCTGTCCTTTTTCTGCTCTACCTCGCTCCTGACGGAGACCTGATAGTACCCACAGAGATCCTGACAGACATCAGAGAAACAGACTTTCTCCCTTGTCTACCTCTCAGGACTGATTCTGCCTTCTCCACATTTGCTTTAAAAAGAATAAACACATACACTAATTTCTTAGTTAAGAATAACAGGTTAGCTTAGATATCAGCTTGGGTGAGAATTTGGCCAGCTCTAACCCTAAGTTGTACCATTCTCTCTGCACATTCCCTTCTTCCTTTAGCTCTAAATGATCTCTAGCAGAGATCTGGTCTGGAACCTATGTTGAAAGGTACATGCCTCTTTCTAACTTCCAGCTGCCAAAACATATGACAATTGCCAGAAATATTTATCCTAATAAAGAATTATTTTTCACACATAAATCTCCCAAATATACTACTTACATTACTTAAACATTTTGGAGTTTTGAAAAAAAATCAATCAGGAAATTTCCAACTAGGAATCTCCAAATCAGCTATAGAAGAATAGTTGCAGGTCCTTCTGCAAACCAAAAGTCACAAAAGTCTTGTTGTACCCCCCTTTCCTGCTCTATTTTACCTGATTTTGGAGTGGAAGATCCTGCTCCTGATATCTGTGTAGATTATTCTGGTCTTTGGAAGGAACGTCATGATCCTGACACTTAGGAAGAACATGCGGTAAAATATATTGATGTCTGGGCAGGAAACTCTGATCTTTAGGTGGGAGATCCTGGCTCTGACATTGGAGTGGATGACTCTCCTCTTTGAGTAAAGCAAATTGGTTTCCAGGTAGAAATTCCTGGTCTACTGGTAGAAAATGCTGGTCCTGGTATTTAGGTAGAACATTCCAGTATTTAGAGAGAACACAGTGATCTTTGCGTAAAGAATTCTGGTTTTGACAATTGGGCAGAAAATTCTGGTCTCTGGATAGAAAAGCCTGGTGTGATGGTAGAAAATCCTGGGCTTCCAACTTAGTAGTCCCATCTATCTCAAGAGTTTGGGTTTTAAGAATGTCCTGAACCTCTGTCTTAACAGCCTGGCCTTCTGGCTCTGTGGTCTGAAACTTCACTCCAGTGGCCTGGGAATCTGGCTCAACACTTGGAGCTTTAGGTTCAATTCTTGAAGCTTTGGGCTCAACATTCTGGACATCTATCATATCACTTTGGGATTCTGGAACTTCTACAAGATGCTCCTGGGCTTCTGGAAGAACAGCCTGAAGACTATGCCGATTTAATTGCTTTTGTTCATCTTCTTTTATCACAACAAATAATGGATTTTTGAATTTTACTTTCTAAAAGAAAATATAAATAAAAACAAAGACAGGTGGGAGCAAAAATCCAGATTTTTTTCAATGAGTCTTAAAAAATCTTAAATAATACAATAATCAAACACAACTAGAATAAAAGGTGAAACCTTAGTATTTGTTCAACTTTTAAATAACCTGAGTCAACATCCCAAATATACCATAAATCTCTTTCTAAATCAAACTTCTTTTTTGCATTACTGGTGACTGAACCAGAGTTTCATGCACATTAGACATGTACTGTACCACTGGGCTAAGTTCTCACAAAATTGTTTAGGCTGGCCTTGAACTCACTCTGTCTCCAAGGCTGATTTTGAACTTGTAATCCTTCTGCTTCAGTCTCCCAAGTAACTAAGATTATAGATCTGTTCCCCTTTATTGTATTACCTGAACTTTGCTGAGAGCCTTTTCTTTGTCTGCAGAAAGGAGATCCTGCTGGTAACCCACAAACAAATCATCTCTCTCCTCACCTGTCACAACAGATGAAATTTCCCCATAGCCAAAGTCCTAAAGAAAAAGCAAACAATTTTTAAAAACCCCATTAACCCACTAAATGTAGCTATTACAAGTAAAAATCATGTTTGCAATAAATTTTAAAAACAGTAAGACTTTAGATAACACAAACAAATCTAGCAGGACAATGTATTCAAGTAGCATTAAATCTTTATTAAGTGCAAGATTGTACACTTAAAACTATTAAACATAATTAAAAGAATTAAAAATCTAAATACATGAAAAGGTATACCACATTCACAGTGGGAGACAATATTGTTCTTTGGCAATATTCCAAGATTTGGTGGACAATCTGTTGTCCCAGAACTTTGAGGATACAAACATGAGTCCATGAGTCCAGCTTGGGAAATATACTCAAACCTTATTGAACACACACACACACACCCTGGCCACATTTCCAACGTCGTAAATCACAAGTTGATGTACAGATTCAAGAATCCCTATAAAACTGCCAGCAGTTTTCATCTGACAAAGGTTCCAGGGATGATATAATGAGAAAATAAGTAAAAAACGGTATTAAGACAACTGGGTATCAACCAAAATAAATAAATAAAGATAGATAGATAGATAAATAAATAAATGGAGGAAGGAAGGAATGAAGTGGACCACTTCTCCAATTCACTCATGAAAAATCAACGCAAGATGAATACAGACCACAAAGTAAGAGCTAAAATTATAATGTACTTAGAATACTTAGGAATAAAACTTCATGACATGTAATCAATAGTTAGGAGATACAAGACTAAAAGTGTAAGCAACAAAAGACAACAATAAACTAGACTGCTCCAAAACTAAAATTTGGAGCTACTAATAAAATGAAATGATAGTATACAGAATGGAAGAAGTTCACATATGTCTACTCTCTAATAGACTAACACTCACAATACTAGAGAAACATTTAAACCTTTACATTAAAAAAATAACCCAATTAAAATTTTTCAATAGACATTTTCTTCACATGAGATAGAAATGGGCAATAAGCATCTATATCTGCATTTCCCTACCTCATTTTCTATAAAGTTTTGGTAATGCACTGTAGTTAATGGACCTATGGGGACTTCACAGGGAGGTTCCTCTCTTACTTCTTTATTTATCTTGATACATGTTGGTTTTCTAACAAGTGCTTTCTGGGGAGGTAAAACAAGGCAATCTTTACATAATCTAGGGAAAGCAATGTCTTCATGATACTCATTCTTTATGAATGTTCTAGAATAATCTTAGCTTAAAATAAAGTAAAACAATTATTATTTTTACTTCAAATATGAAAACAAATCACCAAACATGTTGAAAAAAATATACTAGAACATATAGGGAGCTGGAGAGATGGCTCAGAGCTTAAGAGCACTGTCTGCTCTTCCTAGAGGCCCTGAGTTCAATTCCCAGGAACCACATGGTGGCTCACAACCATCCATACTGGAATCTGATGCCCTCTTCTAGCATTCAGGTATACATGCAGATAAAGCATTCTTACCTAAAGTAAATAATAAATAAATCTTTTTTTTTTAAAAAAAAAAAAAAAAAAAAAGAACATATAAACTTTAGAAAAGACAACTTGAAGTCATTCTAGCCACTAAGGATTACAGAAGGCCATAAATTCCGTCTTGGCAATCTGACAAGGCCAAGCAAGAACATGCTTATGTCTGGAATTCTGAATGACAGGAACAATTAGATAGGATGTTATGCCACTAAAGTCTAATAGGAAAATAAAGGCAGAGATCAACTGGGTTACAACATACTTCTTTATGATTGGTAGTTTCCACTTCAAACATATAAGAAGGCAGAACATAGGTCAGATATAATTGAAAGTGTAAGTGTAAGAAAAGTTTCCTAGCCAGGCAGTGGTGATGTACGCCTTTAGGCCCTCCACTCAAGAGGCAGAGGCAGGCAGATCTCTCTAAGTTCAAGGCCAGCCTGATCTACAGAGTGAGTTCTAGGAAAGCCAAGGCTACACAGTAAAACCCTGTCTCAAAAAAACCAAAAAGTTTCACTAATTTCACAGATCACTCCCAACTTTCATGGAGTGGATCTATTTCTATTCTTTGATCTGAAATAACGACATGGCATTTTCTGGAAACAAGCAGCAAGCTTAAACTCATCATCATCATCATCATCATCATCATCATCATCATCATCATCATCATAATGACATGGCATTTTCTGGAAACAAGCAGCAAGCTTAAACTAATAATAATAATAATAATAATAACAATAATAATAATCTACACTCATATGGCATCTCTGATGTATGAAACTGGTTTTAAAAGGATGTTATCTCAGGATTGATCCTCTTTTCTACAGGATTAATTATGTGAATAGTATTTTCTCTGGAAAAACAACAATTGAAATGTCTGGGTATATTCCAAACAATGTAAAATATCAATCTCTAGAACTAACGACACCTTTTTCCTGACATATTGGAAAGTGTTCAGTCCTTTTTCTAATTGTACCCACCAGTGCCTCTAATGGTCCAAATCCATGGCAGGTGTAAGAAGAAGCAAGGCACAAAAGAAAAAGTATTTCAAAAGTCACCACAGGTTACCAGGAAAAAGAAACCTTATGACTATATCTAGGATGGGCTACCATACATGAGCATGCAGACACCCATTTTCTTTTTAAACTTAATTTATAAATTTTTAATTAATACTAAAGACGGAGATATTCACAGTTTAGTACCCAACCAATTACAAGCATAGAGACAGATGTCTTTGATGGCTGTGCTAAGATACTTAAAGAAAAACCCACCTATGGGGTGGTAGTCCCATAAGACTGTCAATGAATGATGCTGTATCCTTCAGTTTGTGTAAGTATGCACTATAATTTTACACAATAAAGAAATCAACTAGAAACACATTTCCCTGAATGTATTGCTATAGTTAAGCAGTGCACAATGTGGATGGTCCATGCCATTTGTCAAGTAGGTACTGAAATTGGAAAAGGAACCAAGAGAAAGATGATGGCAGAAATATACCAAAAAGCCTAGGTAAGAGTCATTTTTACTAGATGCTGCCACCAAAAGTTGGAAGTTAATGCCAAAAGTTGGAACTTAATGAGCAAACATGAAAACACAAGAATTGAGCATCCAATCTGGTAAAATCTGAAATGAGTATGACATCCTAACAACATCATTTTACAAATAGAGGCTTAAATATACTTTTAAGCCTGGATCTAAACTTAGTTTCTAATTCTTCATTTAAACTTAAGTTTAGAATTAAATGAATTCCTTTACTAGAAATAGTATCCACACCAGGCAGTGGTGGTGCACACCTTTAATCCCAGCACTTCGGGAAGGAGAGGAAGGGGGTATCTCTATGATTTCAAGGCCAGCTTGATCTACAAAGTTAGTTCCAGGACAGGGCTACACAGAGACTCCCTGTCTTGAAAACCAAACAAAAATAGTACTTACTATTTCCTTATTAAAAAGTAATATATATATATTACAAAACTTAAAAAAGAAGGCAGAAGGAATAAAAATTTGATTCCCACAAGTGCAAGGGAGGAAAGAAGAGCAGCACTAACTCTTATATCTCGTCTATCCAAATGCTTGTCTATGCACAGAAGTCTCTTTCCTGTCTCATTTTTCTTTATCACATGCACTTCTCATTTCAGATCCTGGTTATTTACTTGTTTAGTATATACTTCCCTACTAGTACAGAAGTCCCCCAACAGAGCTTTGTCTTTATTTTCATCAAAATGTTAACATTTAATAAATAAATACATATATTTTTAAATTAAGATTATAGTATATGTAATTTTATATCCTACTCTTTTCAGCTAAAAGTTTTCCCTAATCTTCAGGTATTATTTGAATTCAGATATTATATGATTTTTTTTTTTAAAGAACAGCTGTATTGCTGGGCACGGTGGTACACACCTGTAATCCCAGCACTCGGAGGCAGAGACTGGCAGATCTCTGTGAATTCAAGGGCAGCTGATCTACAAAGCCAGTCCAAGATAGCAAAGGCTAGACAGAGAAACCCTGTTTCAAAATGCCAAAAAAAAAAAAGAAAAGAAAAAGAAAAAAGAAAGAAAGGCTGTACTTATATATTTAATTTACTCACGCATTCCCTATTAAATGATACTAAAGATTACTTCCAATTATTTTGCATTTCTAAATTATGTTGATATAAAAACAATTTCCTGGCTATACCTTCTCATATTTTTGAAAACAGCATATTAGAAATTAATTTACCTCTTGGGTGGGAGAGCCTGTCTTTCTACCATTGAGAAACACTGGCGTCTTTTTTTCACTCACAGTTTTAAAGGATGCCAGCTGGTGACGTGCCTGTTTCATAGTTTGACTAAGCTGCCAGGGAAAGGTGGAAAAAAGAAAACAACAACAGGTTAAGGTCTTAATGCCAAATGCACTGAGTGTTCCAACAGGAAAACAGGTCTCTATTATTAAAAGATGCCAGACTCAGGACAAAAGGATTACTTGCAAGGGAGACTTTAATCTGCTGACAGTGCTGTATTAATACTGCTGTCAACAGACTAAGATGAAACTTGGTAACTTCATGACTTGATTTAAGGTCTATTAATCCAATCTATTTTTAAATGATATATACCTTTTACACATAAAATGTCAGGAAATAATATCTAAATATACTTAGAAATTTTTGAGCAAATGCATTCCTTACCCTCTATTCATCTTGCATAAATGTTTTTATTACTCCTTGCTATAAGATTTCCTTTTCCTAGAGGAAGCCTTCCTAAATATCCTAAATTCATTTTTTTTTTCTGTTGCTGTAATAAAAATACCCTGACAAAGCCATCTTTGTTAGAGGGGGGAGTAGCTTATTTCAGCTTACAATTCCAGGTTACAGTCTATCACTGTAAGGAAGCCAAAGTAGGAAATTCAAAGAGATAGTCACACTACTCCCAGTCAGGAACAGAAAGAAATGAATGCATACAGGTTCACTTGATTCCTTGCTTGTACTCAATAATTTCTCCATTCACGTTACAGTTCAGGAGTCCTTGACCTAGGGAATGGTACTGCCCACACTAATGAGCTGAAGTAAAATAAACTGCTATAGACCACTGGCCAACCCAGTGCAGACAGTCCCTCAGTGAAACTTCTTCCCAGATGCTTCAAGATTGTGACGAGCTGACAATGAAGGCTGACCATCACATTAAGGTAATGTAGAATGCATATACTGTATACAAGAATCACTTTGTTTCAATAGTCTAATGACTGATATATAGCTTTATATTAATTCTTTATTCTAGTGATTTTAGTACATAACTATTTTTTTCCAGTAGCACAACCTATTTTATCTCTTTCAAATCTCCAAAGAATGTTCACTTAGGAGAAAAAAAAAATAGCTATGTACCTTTTCATTTTAGGATAAGCAAGGCATCAGGTAAAGGACAAACATCTCCACACTAGTTAAAGAAATTATAGCAAGGCTAGGAATACTTCCAATCCACTCATTAAAATGCTAATGGTAGCAAGTCTTCCTTGAAGAAAAGTATGACTTACCAATATGGTAATCAATAGCATATGTTTTACTAATGATTTTTTAAAAATTCTCTTAGCTAGGCATGATGGCACGCACCTTTGTTCCCAGCACTCAGGGAAGCTGACACAGGCAGATGGTTTGAGTTTGAGGGCAGCCTGGTCTACAAAGCATCTAAGACAGTCAGGGCTACAGAGAGAAACCCTGTCTCAAAAGTAAAAAAAAGAACACAACAAAACAAAAACAAAACAAACAACTATTCCCCTTACTATGGGAAACCAATTGGTTACTGAACTACCACGGGCTTCATCCGAACAAAGGTTCTAGGTTATATCCATACATGGTCCTTGGTGGAGTGTCAGTCTCAGAAAAGACCTCTGTGCCCAGATATATTTGGTCCTTGTGGAACTCCTATCCTTTCCACATCACACTAACTCACAGGAACTCAATGGCAGGCTCTTAGACCTCCCCACCCACAAAGGGAGAAGCAGTCCTGCTAGACCACAGAGGAGGACTTTGCAGCCAGTCCTGAAGAGACCTGATAAAACAGGGTCCGATGAAAGGGGAGGAGGTCCTTCCCAATCAGTGGACTTGGAAAGGGGCAGGGAGGAGATGAGGGAGGAAGGAAGGGTTTGGGAGGGAATGAGGGAGCGGGATACAGAGTTAAAAAAATGTAACTAATAATAAAAAAATAAAAGAAGAAAAAAAAAACAAATATTTACTCCTATTACCAGCCCTATGCCTCACAGTGTATCTTCTCTCCTTAGTCCTTGCTTCTAGGGTTCTAAACCAGTTTGAAACATTACTCTTTGTTCTATCAAAAGGAAGCATCTAGAGCAGGTGAGAGCAGCTAACCGAAATCTAGACAGTCATTCACAACACAAAAAGACATTCTGTGCAGTTAGAGTTAAACAATGTACAGAGAGCCATGTGCTGCTTTATTTATTGTCGAATAAAATAGGTTTCAATGACCCATACCTAAGACCAAAAATTCCAAAGGTCTGTTGTAAAGCAACTAAAAACAAGTGTTCAGAACCTCCATTTCCCATCAAATACTAATTTTTATTAGAGTCCAAATCATAAGCAGATTTTTCAACTGGTCCAGCAGCTCTGTTTCTCTTTCATTACTCTAACTCTTTGCCAAACCTCAACCTTGTGGAAGCCTTTTCAATGACAAGAACTATAGCAGTCTGAATATTGACAACCAAAAACACTAGATCCTAATCTCTGGAACCTTAAATGACACTTTATAAAGACAAAAAGGGCCCTTACAGATGTGGTAATTCTTATCTTAAAGATAAGAATACTGATATATGAAGCCAGGCAGTGGCACACCTTTAGTCCAAGCACTGGGGAGGCAGAGCAGGTGATCTCTGTGAGTCCAAGGTCATCCTAGTCTACAAAGTGAGTCCAGGACAGACAAGGTTACACAGAGAAACCTTGTCTCAAAAAAAAAAAAAAAAAAAGAAAGAAAGAAAATCTCAGATTATCCAGATGGGCACTAACTGCCATCACAAGTGCCCTTGTAAGAAAACAGTAGAGAGAGGGAGGTTTACCAGAGAAGAGAAGATTATTCGAAGATGCAGACAAAGGCTGATAGGATGTAACTACAAGAAAAGGAATGGCAGCAGATAAAAATAGAAAGCTGGAAAAGTCAATCTGTATGGCCCTGCCGATACCTTGATTAGGATTCATAAAACTTAGTTTGGATGTCTAGCCTCTAGAACCTGGAGCAAATACATTTCTTACACTTTAAGCCATTTAAGTTGGGTTACCTGGGTGTGTTGGAATATACCTATTATAATCATAGATTTTGGGATGCTAAGGCAAGAACAGGTTCAAAGCCAGCCTAGGCTACACAGTGTGTTTAAAACTGGTCTGGCCTACTAACACTCTTTCAAAAGCAAAACAAAAAAACTTTGAGGTAATATGTTAGCGCTATCACAAAATATATAACTAACGAAAGGGCCAAAGTTAATATTTATAACACAAAAACACAGAAAATAGCTATTACAAGTATAAAATTATTTGATACTTGAAATTAGTATAAAAGAACACTTGTAAGATAATGGTGATCAGTGTATGTGTACTTGCATGTACACATGTACAAAATTTAAATGTCTTTATATAAAACTAGACATATAACTCATTCTTTTACAGCTATTAATTATTAAGAGACTAGCACTGAATAATTAACCAAGAGACTTAAGCTTTCTTTTTTCCGTTTTTTTAATTTGTATTTTTTTATATTAATTACATGTTATTTACTTTGTATCCCAGCTGTATCCCCCTCACTCATTCCCTCCCCACTCTCACCTACCCTCCCTTATCTCCTCCCTGCCTATCTCCTATCTCTCAGTCCACTGATAGGGGAGGTCCTCCTCCTCTTCCATCTGACCCTAGTTTATCAGGTCTCATCAGGACTGGCTGCAATGTCTTCTGTGGCCTAGCAAGGCTGCTCCTCCCTTGTGGGGGGATTGGGAGGAAGGTCAAAGAGCCCACCACTACATTCATGTCAGAGACAGTCCTTGTTCCCCTTACTACGGAACCCACTTGGATGCTGAGCTGCCATGGGCTACGTCTGAGCAGGGGTTCTAGGTTATATCCATGCATGGTCCTTGGTTGGAGAATCAGTCTCAGAAAAGACCCCTGTGCCCAGATATATTTGGTCCTTGGGGCGCTCCCATCCTCTCCAGGTCTTACTAACTCCCCCTTCTTTATTATGATTCCCTGCACTCTGCCCAAGGTAAGGTTTGTTTATGAGTCTCTGCATCTGCTTTGATACACTGGCCTTAGGCTTTCTTGATGGATCTAATCACAGTGGCTCTTGCCTATAATCCCAGCACTTGGGAGATGCAGGCAAGAGGACTGCTACAACTTCAAAGCCAGCCTCAGCTAAACAGGAAGTTCCAGGAAAGCCTGGAAGTAAGACTGCCTCCAAACAAACAAATGGGCTCCTGAAATGGCTCAGCTAGTAAGAGCACAGTTCTTCCAAAAGACCTGAGTTCAGTCCCTGCACTCATGTTGGGCAACTCACAGCTGCCCTAACTTTAGCTCCAAAGGATCTGACACCCTCTTCTGGCCTCCATGAATGACAACCCTTCAACACACACATCACCATAAATAAAAATAATAATTTGGAAAACAAGCAACTTCTAGTAGAGATGAAAAATTTATAAATGTGATAAAAAAAACATCAAATAAGAACAAATCAATATAACTCCAGATAAAAAGTAACTGCAGTTACTACCTGACTCGGCAATGATTAATATTTATAGCAACAACAAAAATATAATCAAAACAAAATATAGTAATATTATAAAGAGAGGGTAAGGGATGAAAAGTACATTTGTAATGGCAAGATGGGAAGAAAAGAGAGCCAAATCCTCACCTTTCCTAATAGGACAGCAATAAGAATCTCTACCATATGCTTATACTGCATAACAGTTTCTTCTCAGATTGAAACATTTATTCCAATCTCAGGGAACTCTTTAAAACAAAACAAAAACAAACAAACAAAAAAAAAAACTCTTTAGAGCACAAAACAGCTTCAGGAAGTGCCTGAAATTGACCAGATTCACTAGGACCCTCCCTGCAAGAGTAAACAATAAAATCTGAGAGTGCACCTCAGAAGCTGAGCTACACAGAGATCTAAGACAGCTGAGCCACCAAAGCCTCAAACAAACTGAGCTTCAAGGAAGACTCTGAGGAGAAAATATACAGAGAAGACTCAGACCACACCAGCTGCCTAGAACAGATTTAGACCAATTGAGGCACCTGGGAAGGACATTCTCCAATCTGTGGAACTGCTGAAGGTTTTCTTCCATGAAACAGAAACATCAGGCAACAA